TCTACCTACCTCCTCCTAACTTTTTCCAAAATCTATCCACAGATAGTCAAATGCAGAATATTGTGCAGTTGAACAGGGTGCGCTCACTCGTGAGCAAGGATGCCTGGGCTTAATTCCTTGCTCTGCCACTGACAAGCTATTAATACATCGTTGGGTAGTTCCTTCCCCTTTCAGTGCTTCATTCTTCTCATCTGTTAAGATATTGCTACTGTCTACTTCCTGTGTTAAATGGAACATGTAGAATGATGCCTGGCACATAAAGTAAGCACTCGGTGGATCTAGCTAACTCGAGGCATTATCTAACCTATATGACTGAGTTTGCACATATTGCCAAATTTCCTGAGTGTTCAGCTTGTCAGTTGAGTTTAGGTGGCATTAGGGCAGGTATGTTACTTTTTGATTGCACACTGAACTGGTGTTGTGAGGATGGGGTGTTGCTTAGCTGTTAGGAGCTATCCATGACCACATTTCTGAAAACAGCCACGTATTGACAGATTTGGTTCCAATCCTGGATCAGTCTCCAAAGCCCGTTCCCCTAAAGCACATTGCTTGAAAAATGCTCCCACATCCTCTTTTTTTTAGTCTACTTGCTCTAGCCTAGTGTGAGGGCCTTTTTGGTTTTTGTTTTTAATAAATTTCATGTTGAATTATAATATATACACAAAAAAGTATACATGTTCCGCTTGCTGTGTGTTCACAGCACCAATACTCGTATCAAGAAACAGCATCCCATAACCTTTTTGTGTCTCCTTCTGGGAACCAGGCTTTGAAAATCACTGGTAGAAAGGTTTGTGATCAGTTCTTCTTGGCATGGAGAAGACATTGTGGAAGAGAGGGAATCACCCTGATAAAGAGGAGGCTCAGTTACACTGTTGTGGGTCATACCCCCCTGCCACTCTCTCCCCTCCTGCATTCTTCCTTTTTGCTCGTTAAGATAATGTGAATAGGCAGAGAAAGATTCTTGATAGAAAGATTTATTAGATAAGAATAATTAGACAGGACTTTAGGGGGACCTATATTAGCCTTAGTTTTTTCTCTTTTCAAATCCACTTCAGTTGTGGCCTTTGAATTAATTTTTCATTACATATTGTGATCACTGCTTTTCATCATGTGAAGAGTGGTCAAGGGAATGCAAAAATGCATGAATACTTACTTTGAAACTTCCCTGAATTTAATTCTTCCAACCCTACATCAGGCATGGGAATGGGCTTTTTCTCAGATGTCAAATCTTGGGTTGGAAGTGGGACCTGGGAGCGCTGCACTGAAAAGATTCGGAAGGAGAGTAGTCTGGGCACAACAGGAAACAGTGTTCTGATTGATTAGAGATTTTCGCCATGGGCTAAAGAGGTCGGACTGGTGTCTTGAGTACCAGTTACTTGCCTCCGGTGATCTAAATGATACATACGCCATTTATTGACTGATAACTAGGCACTCTTCTGCGAGACCACTTAGTACCTGGGATATGAGATTGCAAACAGTTCAGATAGAAGCTTAAAAAATTGAACCAGTATTCTCCCTTCCTTCCATATATCACATGGATTCATCATACTTCCATGCTTCTCTGGTCCTTCCTGCCAATGTTTTATTAAGTTCATCTATATTGTGAAAGTATCAGTGATGGCAGCAACTGTTTCAGTCAACATATTGAACTACATACACGTGGTGTATTGGAATCCAGTCAGTGATTGCAGACACTTTTGTAAATGTGTAAACATTGGATAACCCAACTTATTTTCTGTGATACTTGGTTGAGCTATGTGAGGGAAATAGAATAGGGTTATAAGTAGGGTTGGTGATAAATTGTAATATGTATATGATTTGATATTTAAGAGCAGGGTACCCAGCATGATAATGAATAACAGTATGAATACCTATGTGAGAGGATAATTCCATTTCAGGAGGGAGAAGATTGAGAAAACAGGGAGATTGGATTGAGGGAGAGAACAGACTTTTGGGCATTGAAGATCTAAACATACCTCCTTTTAGCTACTCTCTGAGCTGCTGTGATGTCTCAGAAGAAAAGTTGTGATGGTACAATTATTGTTTTTCCATTTACTGAAGGAATTTTAGAGCTCCTATTTAAACAGGAAATTGTGGGTCATAGGCATCCCTTTTAAGTATTACAGTTGTGGTTTTGAAATACATCTCTGGATTATTACATTTTATCAGATTTTGAAGAATTAAGCGTTATTAAGCCGAATAACAGAGAAAATGGCATTTTCACTTTTAAAAAATCTGAAAGTCCTTTCTGTTAAGGTATCATAATAAGTCACATTCACAAGATGTTAAAGCCTCTAAGGAACTTTTGCTGTAGTAAACGAGAGGGAAATGGAGAAATGGAGTGTGAGTGTACGAGCACCCTCCTGATCAGAGTGTATGCATCAGACTGTCAAAGAAGCCCACTGCTTATTGCAGGTAGATTCATATCATAGCTTTCATGCAAATAATTAGTGTTATTAAACCAATTGGAAAGTATCTGTTGGCCATCTACCATGGGTAAAACCTATATGAGGTACAAAGATGAATGTCAAGACCCAGTTTTTATACTTAAAGAATTTATAATCCAGTTAGGATCACAAGACATATATACTATTACAAAGCAATTACGTGTTAGGTATTTAAAATGTGGTTAAAAGATATTACAGAGGCATTCAAGAACAAAAAGATCATCTAGCCTAGGTAATCAGGAACGTCTTCATGGGGAAGATGGAATTTTTACTAAGGAAGTGATTCTTAAATGTGTGGTTCTCAGACCAGCAGCAATAGCATCCTGGGAACATGTTAGAAATGTAAATTCTCAAACTCCACCTCAGAACTGCTGAATCAGAAACCCTGAGGGTAGCCCCGGCAATTTGTGTTCATACAAGCATGCTAACGTTTCAACACCGATTTACCAAGGAAGTGGTGGCTAAAGGTGTGCTGACTGAAGTTAGGGAGAGACAGTAACTGGCACACAGTAAGTGCTGAGTTAACGAGGGCTGCTAAGCAAAGGAGACACATAGGGGTTTAGAGTTTCCTGTGCCATTTGGTTTAGTTTCTGTTTAAGAGAATTCTTTCTCATTGCAGATGGATCCTTATTTCATCCAATTGTCCTTTGTAACCATGTTGTCATTTTTATCTCCTATTATTCCCATCATTTAAAATGTCTGCGCCACCTGGATAAGGGATAAAATTTGCATTTTTACAACATTATTTGAAGCCTCTGGAAAATGTAAAAGCCACATATTAGAATGATTGAACATTTTGGGGGCTAACTACTGGGTAAAAGTGTATACAGAATAGATGTTTAAATAGAGAGTTGATGTTCTTTTATCAGATCTTGGATAAATGTCATTTAGAGATTTAAATTTTAAAACTAAAATTCATCTTTTATACATAAAAAGTGGGGTGTGTTCCCCTAGCAATCCACTACATATTTTATAAAATTCAGGGTTTGGGGAGCATTTTTAAATCCCCTACATTGAACCCATACTTTGGCTTCTCCTGTGATTCTAGACTAGCTAAACCTTAGGTGAATTGGAGACATTAATTTGGGGCATCACTTTTCAGGCAGGCGGGTTCTTACTCAATGGAGCCTTTACCTTCAGCCTTTGCTCACTGAGCTGTCTGGTGCCTAAAGTGGAAAGTGCCTAAAGTTTTTATAGTGCTTGTGTAAGTAATCTTCTGATTCTCTATTAAAAAGAGGAAGTGATTTTAAAGACAAGGGAAAAAACCCACAATCAGCCTATGGCCATGGCAGTTAAGCTTTAAGCTTAAGCTTACTATCAGTTTAGCCTGTGCCACAAAGAAGTCAAGTTGTTGTCATAGGTGTGTTGCAATCTTAATTCTCAAGGGAGGGTGTATTTAAGATCTTTTTTTGAGCTCATTATGTAGGAATTTAAGGGGTCACATACGTAATGATGTCTTAAGGGAACTGAGGGCTCTGACATGACATGGTTAGTTTTTCTCACACTTGTGGAGTGAAATATATGGCTGCCATATATAAAGATACAATTTAAAACTTTCTGAAACCAAAGAACCAGTCAAACGTTCATCAGCTTTTAGAGATCCATTAATGTTTTCTTCAGCCAACTTACAGGACTAGGAAGAGGAAAAAGAATAGAGGTAGGGGCAATCCCTTGTATTTTTGTGTATCAAAATTTGACCTATGTTCCAGGGACTGGTGATTTTTATTTCTAATGAAATGTTTTTTTCACGAACGCACAGAATCATATTGATTCTATAGCATTTTCAGATGCTATATTCTCATTTTTCAGATGAGGTGTGTTAGTGTCAGAAGTCAAAATTGAATGCTTTTGTCCTGGGGTTTTGATAGTTCAGGGCTTTCTCAACTTGGATATGCCCAGGAATTCAGCACAAGTTTTGAGGGCTTATTACTTCTTATTATCATTATTTTTCTTACCAATTTTTTTTCTTGCGTTAAAGCAAGTATATGTCCCTATGTCCCTGCTCTGCCCCCACCCTGTGGTACTTCCTGTACATTAAGTCCTGCATTTGGCTGTTGTGGGTAACCATCTCTCACTTGCTATCGGTAGGATTTTGCAAGGTTGCAGAGCAAGACCCGTCAGCTGATGCTTGCTCACATGACACCATTAAGAGGGTGGTGTGGCCAATGTCAGAACAACCTTGCAGCTGAAGGCAAGTCACTGCATTTGCTCAGAGCCATATGAATAGGTCTTGTGACCAATTAATTGACTACTACATAATCTCCAGCTAGGGAGGACAGATGGAGTGAGTCATTCCAAGCTGCTCAACCTGTTGAGTGTTTTGTCTTTTGCGAACTGGAGTACAAGCTTAGGAACAAAAGTAGGAAGAGGGATTTGGACTTGCCTGTGTTTATAATGAATTTGCAGACAGCATGTTTTATAACGTGATGGATGCAACTGACTTCCTAAATCATTGGCAGGCTTAATTTACGTAACAAATGAATGTTCCCCACTCCTTTTTTTTTTTTTTTTTTCAACTTTTGAAAGAGGAAATTAGTAGGCTGCTGCCAAGTAGCTTTTCTCATACTATATAGGGAGTGAAATGATTGTTTAGAACTGCTGGTCACTGTGGATTATCCCTCAAATAACAAAGGAACTTCAAGATTTGTGTCCAAGTCCATGTTGATGGTCGGGATAAACCGGAAGAACGTCAAACCACTTAGGAGATGTGTGGCGGCACAGCGAAGACCACATACCAGCCAGGGGGCTGGCAAGATTCTGCCAGATGTGTGAGTGATGCCGTTTCTGGTGCTGGGAGGATTTGCAAGACTCTTTTATGCACAAAGATTCGAAAACATGCAGGGGTAGGAAGGAACACTGATCTCAAGGGACTCCACAACAGGTTTGAAACTTTAATTCTATTTCAAAGTCTCAGATAAATTTTTATTTAACTCACTACATACCAAGGAGATGGAATTGTATTGATCTGACAGTTTCTCAAAAGTGCTTCTAAGTAGGAGGAATGGGGTCATTGGGGGATATGCAGAGACAAAATCTTTCTTTTATAGAATAGGTGTAAACGTGGGTATTTTTTCTGTGATTCTACTACCCATCTACTTTGTTCTTAACTTTTCATTACCTCTGCTGGAGCTAACATGTAAGAAATGGTTACATCCTTGTCTTTTGTTAAAGCTTGAACAATACTGTTCACAGTAATTATCAGGAAAAAAGTTGGCAGTCCTGAAGTACCACCAAAGCTAGTAGATGGGGCACAGGACTAGGAGTTCTCATTTCATAGTCTGCATGGTGGGTGGCCAGTGGTGGGTTTTCTGGCTGAAGGCCAGGGTAGCAAGAGAGAGAGCCTAGTCTTCCTCTGGAAAAATCTTTTTCATGAGAAAAATGTATTATGATCAACTAATTTTAATAATGTAGCTTGTCTAAAGAGAGTAACAGTGTACTTGCTATTTTCTTTTTGGTTGATTTTTTTTTCATCCACTTTGGAAGAATTCATTAATTTTATTGGTAGTAGAACTTGAAACACTATTGTAAAGAATTTTATCGCATACATAAAAAGGAAAAACTGTTTGAGAATTACATTTCATTCCAAAATCTTATGTAGATAGATAGTAAGGACAGCCAAAGGTTAAGCCAAAGATTCTCATAATTAGTGTAAAAGTAAGTTTCTAAATTCATCTAAATTTTTTTTCTTACAGAAATTTTCTCGAAATTAACATGTCTCATAAACTATATATCCCATAAATATAGTTCCTGGTTTTGTTAAAAATAATCAGGATATAGTTTATGTCATGTAAAAATCTTTATCATTTAGTAGAACCTCAACAAAATGGGATAGAGTCTGCCACAGGATAAGAACCCAGTGGATTAGAGAGTTAGGGAGAAGTGGGGAAGTCATTTTACAAGTGTTCGGTCATGTGCTGTTCACTCATGTGCTGTTCACTCAATTAAGGAGATATACTTGTAGAGGAAGAGGTAATGATATGGTATATTAGAAAAATACATTTGAGTGTTCAGATAAGAATTTCACTTTTATAATATCTGTTTTTATCTGTTTCTCATCAAGAAAGGGCAGCTGCGTGATAGGAGAGAGTAATGGAGTGACACTCGGTTCCTCTGGATCCCGATCCCCCACCTCCGCTGCCCAGGGGCCTTACAGCCCTGGGCCAACAACCTGGCTTCTCGGTGCCTCGCTCTCAACTATTAAGCTATGTAGTTGGCTCATATTATTTTAAAAATTCTTTCTTCTCCTAAGATTTTGAGATATAGTATTAGGACCTTCTATATTCCCTATTTTTATTATTCTGTAGAATTCTAGACCCCCAAATAGATATTTAGGGTGAAGGACAGGGAATGAGTGTCCAAGAAGAAAATAATATGCAGAGCCACGACAATATTTTAAAAACTTCTAAAATTTTTGGTATGAACTGCTGTCCCTTACTTGGAATAAATTTGCTATTTGGTAGAATTGTGATCATTTTTATTTAAGCAACACTGTAAACTTAAAATGTTTCTATACCCATTATCCCTTTTCCTTATTTTCTTTTCCTTTAGATTTACTTCTCTAATGCTGACTTTTTTTTTTTATTAGAATTTTATACAATGATGACATATATTTGTCAATTAATTTGAATTTGTCTCTGGTCAGACCAGTTATCTTGGTAGACCTTGTCCGCTTTCTCTTCCCCTTCCTACAATCTTGAAAACATATTTGTTATTTGCAGTACTGTGCTTGGTTTCCAGAATTTCTTTAGGACTGGGGCCAACTGGAAGGTAAAAGTGAATTATTGACAGGAGCTTGCACTGAAGGATCTGGCTCCAGAGTGCTCACGAGTTATCTGTTTGTCCAAGTCATGTGGCAGTTAGGTAGGACTTCCTACTCCCTTTTTGCTCTTGGGTATGTTAAATTAGTATTTTCAGGTGGTCTTCTTAGCTGAGCACACTGATAAGCAGGGTTTTTTGGTTTTTTTTTTTTTTATCCTCATGATTTTACAGTTATTGAAAAGATGAAGAGAAAGATTCCATAAGTACAGTAGAATCATGTTGCATGCCTTATGGTGGCCACAGTGTAAAACTGACACAGTTCAGTGCAGAAAAAAACATTTTGATCATCTCTTAGAGGTTCATGTGGCATGAAACATTTCGAGACAGAGTCCTCTTTATCTTCATTTCCATTCCCCTTAAACTCTATAATGACAGATATTGGGGTTCAATTTATTTCACAAAATTCCAGAGTCAACAAAAAACTATAGTTTGCTGAAAGGCATCTTAGATGGTTAGCCATTAAAAAAATTCCTTGCTAAAACTCACTTCAAATCTGGTAACTCTGAAATATGATGCTGGATATATGGTACAGTCTTCAAATAATTGCTTCCAATTTTCTTTCTTAAATTATTGACTATAGCAAAGCTGCTAACAACTTTTGATTTTTTTCAAACTTTCCCAGCAAATTAGATAAGTCCATGGGGTTGTTTATATGAGAATTCTGGGAATATTTGCTAAGCCTATTTGTGAATCGTTTCTCCGATGGCAAGAGAAAACTTGCCATAATCTTGTCTTTAAAATATACCCTTCACACCCTTCAGAGGAACTGAAACAAAGCACTTCAGAGTCAATTGTGCTTTACAGTTTCATATCTCGAAATTTGGATTCAGAATAAACTCTCTGTACTGCTTTAGAATCACCGGGATGGAAGAAGCAGGCGGATTAATGAGTGTAGATATCTGTGTTATTTATATTTATGTGAACTAATTCTGTGTAAAAAGGAAAATCCTTAAATTGTCTGTGGTGGTTGCTTAACAAGAAAGTAAGTACATCGCCGTCAAATTGGTACTAACTGATGAATACCAGGGTGCTCACACGGTAGTAATACTCTCCAGGGATTAGGGGGATGGAGGGGTAAACCCGCAACTAAAGGTCACAGGGAGCATTGTAGAGGGGAAGGGCATGCCTTGAACCCGCGCTTGGGTGAGGCAAAGACATAAAATGTAACCATAATGTTTGTACCCTCTTAATACCCTGAAATAAAAAAAAAAATTTAAAAAATAACCAACAAAAAAAAAAAGAAAGAAAGTAAGTACAGAAACCAGGGTGTATTTTCACGAAGTGAAGTGCTTCACATGGATAAGCTGACCATGATTTTTTACTACAAGTCTTTATTTATAGCAGTTAGGATTACTGACTAGGAAATACAAAAATAGTCACAGATTTAGAGAGAGAGATGCTAAGGCAACGGACCAAAGAATTCTGAAGATTCTAGTAAAAGATCATTAAAAAAAAGCATGACGCAGGTTATAGGAATGGGAAGAGTATTTTCCACTGTGTTCTGCGCATAGAAACTGAAAACCATTCTACTTTGATAATACTTAATAGTAAATGTAGCTGTTGGACAGGTCGAATGAAGTGAGTAGAGAAAAAAATGAAACCCTAGTCAGCTGATGGTCTTGTGCTTTGTAACAGCTTCACCAGGAGGCTGTAAATTGCTGGGTGTGACTCTTTCAGTTGCATTGGGTTATTGCTGTCACAAGCTCGTGTGCCCTTCCTGCATTCCTTCCCTTTTTACTGATTTTATGTGCTGTGAGAATTTTTCTTTGACTAGTTAGAAGAGTTTATTTCCGCTGGTTGATGTAATTCAAGACTGATTGAGTGAATAAATGAAGGATTACAGTGGTGATTTAATATTGCTGCAGTGTCATGTCTGATTTAGGATTCAAGAACATTCATCTTTTCCTCTGAGGATACATCATGTACTGGGAATAAATCAGAGCAGTCTCAGTGTAGGGGATTTTCATAGAGGCTGACAACTGACATAAACTTTTGTCTGGATCGTATTTGGGTAAGCATGGATGATGTAACAAGGTAGAACACTGTTATTAGTCACCATAACTAATTGTGTCCAGAATGACAGTGTTCCAGACAGAAGTCCAAGTGACTCCAGCTGTGGGGTCTGCAGGCCAGTCACTGGGCAGCTTCTGAAGCCGTTTCCCCTCCAGTTCCTGCTCAGCTCTGTGCTGACCTGGAACACTCACTGCACTGTCTGCGATTCCTGGTTCTCCTGTCATGACTCCTGTTGTGAGTCAGGCTCCAGCTTAGCCTTATCCTTTTATTGTTATAGTAACAAAAGCTGAATAACTGCTGAACAGTGATGTAGCAAGCCCTGGTGGGAATTGGTGAGAGCGATAACTTGTGACCCATCTAAGATTATAATTGAGCTCCCAATCAGAACTCACTGAAGGGAGTTTAGCCTGTGGGCTGTGAAAACACCAAGGTTCCTGGGAATTCTCTCTCCTTTTATGGGGTCCCAGGGGGATGTATGGGGTATCAGGTATACATACATCCATCAACCTTCCTGTCTTGAAGGGTTTAAGAAAGGTTAACCAAAAAAACCAAAACTACTTTCAGGTCTTTATGTAACAGATGTGAATGAAAATCCTTTTCTCTCATTGTGCCATATCTGTTCACTTTCATGCCTCACCCTGCCCAAAGGCAAAAAAAGAACTTAGTAAAGTTAAGCTATTTTTTTCCACTTACTAATTTTCTTTTTCTAAATTTAGCTTTCACACTTAACATTCTAGACTAGAATCAGATATAGTGGATCTTTAATTTGGGGATCTTCTCTATCCTGATTTCGTGATCTGGGGGTCTTCTCTGCCTTGAAGTCACTGTGTCTTTGGGAATGTCACCCCATCTCTCTTTTCTAAAAAAGTTAAGTGGTAGACTGAGGACAGTGGTTCCCAGATGTGTGAGGTGTTTTTAAAAATGTAAGCTCCTGAGCCCCAACTTCAGATCCACTAGTTCCTGGAGGTAGAGCCTATGAAGTTTTGTTGATTAACTCTCTCTCTCACACACACACACACACACACACACACACACACACACACACACACT